GAGCTGGCCTGACCGCTCAACCTGAAGCTTTCTGAGATCCGGTGAGGTCTTCAGGAGCTGGCGTCAGGCATGGGTGATGTAATGCAGTTGGCAAACCTAATTACTATTAGTAGAATGCATAATTATTTAAATTGTAGGCAAAATAATCATTAAGATGACCTTCTTTGCATTATCCTTCTAAAGGTCATCTAATCAAGATGCGTTAACAAACACCAGAGTTGCTCCAGGAAGGCAGCAGGCCAGCGTGGCTTCATTTTGATTTTTGCATTTAGTTTTCCATCCCTTTGCATCTTTAGGAGGAGATTTCTGTAACGCTGCCACGGCGCCTTGGGTCCCTCCGCGCTGTGCTGGCTGGAGGCAGCGTCGTTGGGTCTGCGCCTCGGGCTCCTCCTCTCTCCAAGAGCTCCAGAAACGAGTGTCTGTGCTGGGTCTGGCGGGCACTCTCCGGGGTCGCTGGAGTCAAAGCTGTCCTCGCCGCGTCGGTGCGGGGTTGTCGCCGCGTCACGCGCAGCGTCGCCGGGTCCTGGGCTGGTGCTTGCAGCAGGGCGCGGGGAGGGTCCCTCCACCTTCCCACCTCTGCTTTATTCCCTGGAGCATTCGGGCAAACGAGGGCCGGCAGCAATTAGCAGGGAGACTTCAGCAGCAGAACGAACGAAGGTGCCACTTGTGCTGCCTGGAAACCAGCAGCTCCTTCTGGTTCCTCCTTCCTGGGGTCTCCTGCAGTGGGAAGCGGTGCCCACGGCGGGGGGGCCCCTTTGCGGAGGATGGCATTGGGGGTCCTCGGCTGGAGGTGGGCTGCATGGCTGCCTTCCCCTCCTCCCACCACGCCTGTTGAGCCAGAGCCTGCCCGAAGGCACCGAGCACCCTCATGCCCCGGTCCTGCCTTGCAGAGCGGGACCCCGAGCTCTCCTCGCGTCTCGCGTGCCTCTGGGATGCTCCGCTCCATGAGCAGATCTTCACAGCCTGGCTGCCACTTGCCGCTTGCTTTCATCTTGCTAATGAACTTCTCCGGCTCTCGCGGCGTGCCATCTGCCCCCCGCGCGAGGGCACAGCTCGCTGCTCCCGCCGCGGGCAGCCGGTGACGGTTCCCGGGGGATGAAGATGGATCTGCCCT